GATATTATCTTCTTCCAGTTTCCCACCATAAATCGCAAATAGCCTCCCCATATCCAGGTGTGGTCTGTCCTTCATCCATTCTCTGTCACATCCCATATCCAATCCATTGCTTGGAACTGTTGATTTCACACCTCCCTCCCCATTTGGCTTTCTCATCTATCAATTTTTATCCATCTTTACTATCAGCATCGTTGCACAAGCTAGAGTCACCTCTCACCACTACTAAGTGGTGCACAGCCCTCCTTCCATCTGTTATGGCTCCTTTGATTTTGTTCTCCATGCTAGAACCGGAGTAATCTTTAAAAATGCAAATCTTTTAATGTTAACCCTGCTAAAAATCCTACGTTGCCTCTTCAGAGATAATCCTAAATCCCCAACATATCACAAAAGTCTCTGTCAATCAAAAGGTCCTAACAGACCTTCTCTATATAGATGCTTCTACTTAGGGTAACCCTTCAGTCAGTCACCAGGATTTGTTACTTGCATGTCTATTAGTTTCTTTTGCCTTCAATCTCTGCCCTGAATTAGGGAAATTCATGGAGACGCCAGAAGACTGGCACCAACTCTCTAATCTCTCTGCGAAGTGATTAGGAGGAAATTTTATTATTGTTTTCTTTTTCTATGGAAAAGTGTTTTATTTGCCTCAGTTCACATTCTATAGATAATGACTTACAAAAGGTATAGAAGCCTAAACTGTTTAAGATGCCAGGTCAAAGCCAAGTTATAGAAGGATAAACCAAGTCCAGTGCTGATGTCACAAGGACCTTGGGGCCCTTTAAATATCTTGGAGTTTCTTACACAGTGTTTAAATCTTATAGGTTTAAAGATACAGTGTCAGGTTCCATCTTTCTAGTACATAGTGAATTGGCTTAGGAGGCCACATCAGGCAACTTTCGTGACCTTGCTAGCACTTATTTGCCTGGTAAGTAAAATAAGATGTTAAGATCACCTATGACACAGAGTTATGTTGAGGATTAAATAACATTAATTTTGTAAAGCACTCAGCACAGAGGCTGGCACACAGCAATGAGCAGTAGGTGTTGGTATTATTTCTGTTTGTGATAATTATAAAATCCATTTTGAGGAAGTCCTTGTAGATGAATGTGAACATTTTTCTTCAGAGAGAAGGAATACTAAGGATTTCAACAATGGTTTTTTGGGTTCACATTAGTGTATCATTGGTTTTGGTCTATCAGAGAAATACACATTTTGCAATGGAAAACAGTTAGAATGAATCTTATTACTCCTCAGGAAAGGAGTAGACATAAACCCTCTTACTGGTGTCACTGTGCACCGGTCATCAATACCCTTTTTTGTTGCATCCCCTCCAGCTCCTGGAGGATGGATCTTGTCACATGGGGGTCCTCAGGCCCAGAGCGCATGGCACCATTTCTGTCTGTGGGATGATTTCTGCTCATGGCAGAGACTCTGCTGTCCCCTGGTGGCATCTGCTGTCTTCCGTTGGTTCAATGTTCCCACGTGGAAGACCTACAATTATCCTTAGAGAGTCACACATCTAGCAGGCAGAGCCTGCACGCTGCCTTTCCACTCTAATGTTTAACGATTGACCTTGCACTGGAAGCAGCCGTTTCTCTGAGCAGCTCAGAGCAGGGGTCCTTACTGAGGACCTTCTCCAACACCTTGCCACCTGATCCACACCAGCACTCCTTCTAGGAGCAGAGTCATGTTGTCTCCTTCGAGAGCTGCATGTGGACCTCTTCCCCGAGTTCCAACTTTGCTGTCAGAGGCTGACTCTTAACATCTAAGGTCCTGAAGCTTCCTCCCCAGTCCCTGGTGTCCTTCCTGATTTCTTACCTTTGACAATGGGGTTGGGTGTTACTTCAAACTGGTCTGGGTCCTTATCACAGCCTATTCCCATGTGAAGGTACAAACACAAGTTTATTTTTCTATAACTCACCTTAATTAAGTTCAGTTTTGAATTGCCTCTTCCAAACGGTTGGTGATACCATAATCTCTGCCAATTCCTGGTATCTCCCATCAACCCCACAGCTGAATCTAAATTTGAGAATGTCTAGTTTGGTGATGAGTGTTTAGGTTGGGAGCCTCTGGTTTCCAATGCCATCTGTCTACATGGGCATCCAGTGAGAAACACAGCATCTTAATGCAGTCATCAGTTTCCCCAGCCTATGTTGGGCTCAGAGTTCCCTTCTGCAAGCTCCCTTGAAGTATGCACATGTCTTTCTTCTTCCACGGCACACCTGGATATACAGGGATACCGTTTTGCTCGCATTCCACGTTAGGGCACAGAAGGTCTTTGAGAGTCCGTCTAGTTGCCACCTACCTACTCACACCAGGCATCCCATGAGTCCATATTCTCTCTCTGGGCCCACTGCCTTCCTGGGCGGTGCTCAGGTCTCTGGGCACACCTTCCTCCTGCTCTTGGATCTCACAAACCCAAATATGGAGGTCTGCAGTGTCCCAAGGACGGGACTGGGGAGCTTGGTTCAGACTCCCTATCTCGGGGACAGTGGAGACTGGCCCCCACTGCCCCCCTCCTTCTCTCTTGCCTGTACCACTCACAGCCTCCTTGGTCCCCAGCACAGGAGATGGGTTTGTTTTAGTTTTTTCTGCGAGTAGAAAGCCAGGCTCTTACAAAACATGTTTTATCCAAATCTCTTGCTCTGCCAGGAGTCTTTTTTGTTCCTGTAAAGCCAAGCCTTTTGCAACACCAAAGCCAGGAAGGACGCTTTCTTTGCTGTCACATCTTCCCTTAAAGCAATAAGCACAGAATGCCTAGCTGCTCATTTGGGGTGGAGTGATGCACAAAAACATCGAGAGAAGAGGATAGTGGCTGGAGGAGACAACCTGTTAATACTGTCCTGCCACACTTAACGAGGAACAGACAGAAACAGTAATAGGCTCTTCGGAATAATATTCTTCCCTCTCTTGGGATGAAATTGTGTCCTTAGCCTTCAGAGATAGTGCATAGTCTTGGCTCTGTTCTAGCTACACATGGGCAAGACTTCAGAACTCAGAAGCCCTGTCTTAACTAAGCAGACTGACACGTTGTCTTCTAGGAGGATTTATCTTCTCACTGGAGATCAGTTCTGGAGAGGTTTTCAAAGGTATGATTCTGTTATTCGGGTTGGTTCGAGGAATATGACAGTTTATATAAAGCTGTTACTTTACTGTGAAAACTCTAGACACAGTGAGAGTAACATTTGGATTAGTCTCTTACACCCAGAAACCTGTATAACAGGAAGAATCACGTTCTATTTTCTAAGAATGCAGAGGCAGCCTCGAAGCACCTTTGCAGTTTTAACTTCATTTTAAAATATGCTGATATTAGTAATTATTATAATAAAGTATTGGCTATTTATGGTTAGTAATTGCTTACACTTACTGAGTACTTGCTGTGTGTCCGATACTAAAACACCTAGATAATTCACTTAATCCTCATAAAAGCCTTAAAATACACATATTGTTACCCAGATTTAGATGAGGAAACTGAGGCAGAGAGGCTACGTAATTTGTCCAAAGTCACAGGATAGTATCTATTAGAGATTGAATTTGAACCCCCCAAAGTCTGACAGCCAAGTAGCAGTGCTTAGTTATGCTGCCTAGTTAATCAGGATCATCTTGGTAAGAATGGTTATGAGGTTACAGTGTAAAAGTGACAATTTTTGGAATAATAAGCTAAAACCTGCTTTTAAGCTAGTAAATCAGAATAAAAATTTTAATTATTACGTATCCTTTGATATTTGGAGGCAAAGTCAAAGTTACCAGCTTGCAGCCCGGAAATGAGACTGGGTTAGAGAAGAGTTTACTTCGACTGTTATTTATCAAGGGGCCCAGAGGTTATGTGCTGAGCCCTTCTGGATCTTCAGGTAAACAGAATGGATAAACACCATGAAACCGAAGGACATCAACTCATAAGAAATTAACATTTTACAGTAACTGTTTTTCTTTTTTTGGCTGCGCGGCGGCAAGTGGGAGCTTAGTTCCCCGACCACGGATGGCACCCGCGTCCCCTGCACTGGAAGGCGGATTCTTGACCACTGGAGCCCCAGGGAGGCCCCTACAATAATTTTAAGGCGCTGGAATTTGAAAAGGTCAGCGCGAGAAGCTGATGGAGCGGCCCTTCTGGAGTTGTCCATAAAGACACATGGAGACAAACGCTCTTGCTAACATTTTCTCATAAACATTCTCAAGGCCAGACACCGGGAGAAGCGTCGGGGACAGAAAGAGAAAAAGAAAAGACAATTCTTGCCCGGGGTTCCATTCTAACGGGAGGAGACAAATGAAGCAGGAAGTTAATAAGCAACGAGAACGCTGCGAAGTGCTAAGGACCACACCACCCTTCTCCAGAATTAGGCTGCACGAAGAGGCGAGGGCGTGCTGCCCCGCGGCGGGGCCAGAGGCCTGCACACACGCCCCTACGGGGACCCGGGCGACAGCAAGGCCGCGGCTCCGGGAACCCTCCGCCCGGCCCCCGCCTCACTCCCACGGCCGGGCGAAAATCGAAGCACAACACGGCCGCCCAGGCCCGGCCCGGGGAGCAGGGACGCGCCGCCGCCAGGCTGCCCCAAATCCCCGGACTCTGGCATTTCCTGCCCCGTTTCCCAGACAAACGGAGCTTCACAGCAGCGGCCCCTCACTAGTGAGCGGGACCCGGAGGCTGGAAAGGGCGTGGCTGTCCGACACGCTCTCCCCCACGCCACGACAGCAGGAAGAGCCATAAAGCTCGAGCGACAGATATAGAAATACCTGGGGCTGCGGCTTCAGTGAGCGAGAAAACAGGGCAGGCCGGGGGCAGAGAAAGCACGACCAGAAGAGCACAGCCGGGAGCGAAGTCTGACGCCGCCGGAGGTCGGGAGGAGATGCCGGAAGTCGGGCGGATACGCCGGAAGTTGGGCGGAGACGCCGGAAGTTGGGCGGAGACGCCGGAAGTCGGTCGGAGACGCCGGAAGTCGGTCGGAGACGCCGGAAGTTGGGCGGAGACGCCGGAAGTCGGGCGGAGACGCCGGAAGTCGGGCCGCGGCCTCCGGGCTCCTGTCGGAAGCTGGTCGCCAGCGCCGCGGTTCTTCGCAGACGCAGCCGGTTTTGGGGTTCGGGCTGCGCGGCGGCCACGGGGTGTTCCGAGGAGCTCGCGAACACGTCTGCGGGCCACAATGTCGCACCCGTCCCCCCAGGCTAAGCCGTCCAACCCCAGTAACCCCCGAGTCTTCTTGGACGTGGACGTTGGAGGGGAGCGAGGTGAGGCGGGGCTCCCGGGGTCGGGGTCCCAGAGGTTGGGGTGGGCCCGCGACCTTGTACCGGTGCCCTGGGGCGTGCGGAAGTTTCTGGAGGTTTTTGTTCGGGGGTGGTGGCGGCCTTTGGGTCTGTCTTGCCCGACTTGGCCGCCCTTCCCCGCCACCTGCTTTTATGTTTGGGGGACATTCAGAAAACCCCGGATATGCGTCTCGGGGGCTCCCGTTGCCTAAAAGTTCCGGATTTTTGTTTTATTTGGCGGGCAAAACTGAGGACGTTAAGGCCGGGGTGCAGCCTTGCAGATAGCTCTGAGGACTGCTCTGAAGGGCTAAGGGAGGAGCCGGGATATATAGGAGTTTTTGCAGCAAAAACCAGGTCGTGGGAACATCAAAAGATGACCGTTAACAGAGGAAACCAGACATATCAAGTTAAGGGACGTAGCGCTTTTCTGTGTATGAGGAGATGCAAGAGTCCGGGCTCACTGAAAACCTTCCTTGGACGTGCACCTCGGCTGCCGGGGCCAGCGTCCTGTGCTTTCTCACTCTGAGTCTCCTCAGGGGGCACCTTTGGGCTGGCTGCAGCGGCTGAGGGCTCGGTGGGCTTGGCACTGGGCAGCCCGTTTGTCTTTATGCTGAGCTCCCACAGGGCTCACTGTGCAGGCGGCTGTAATGAGAGGGCTCGATGGCTGCAACATCCTTTGCTTACTGGTGGGGCAGGTGATCCTCTTCCATTGACACGCGCGCGAGCGCGCATACACCCCCCCCCCCCCCCCACAGACTTATATGTATCAGTACTTTGATTTTGTTTTGAAATTTAGTGCCAGGTTTATCTTTTACCTACCTTAGGAATTGTCTAGAATGTGAACTTTTCAGCTTTTGCTTCAGAGGCAGCACTGGGCAGGTTCCACAGAGCACAAAGACTACAGCTGTACCTACAGCATGGCCGACGTGACCCCTCAGTATGTTTCATTTTCTCCTGTTGGTTACTTGGTGATGGGAAGTTATGAGCACATGTCAGAGAAATTAATCAAATGAAAACCATTCCTAGTTCATGGTGTCCTTAAATGGTGCTACTCTTCTGGCTGCTGTGTTGATGATCCTTTGTAAGATGTAGTAAAATAATTGTTTCAAATTCATCTAGATACATGATACTTAACATGAGGTAGACTGAATTTGAATATTAGAAAACTGACCAAAAAAGAGAACTTGGTCTTTCAGTCACCATAATTTTACCAACTCTCCTTTTACCATTTGCTTATTTAGCTGGTTGTTTTGCATACTGACACAGTTTCATTTTTTCTTTCAGTTGGTCGAATTGTCTTGGAATTGTTTGCAGATATTGTACCCAAAACTGCAGAAAATTTTCGTGCATTGTGTACAGGAGAAAAAGGCATCGGACCCACCACTGGGAAACCTCTGCATTTCAAAGGATGTCCTTTCCATCGAAGTACGAATGCGTTTTCTGAATCTGGTTTTCCTTATAGGTGATTGGATCCTGTTCTTTAGGAGTTAGGGAAGAAAACACTAAGTAGAGGGTGAGAGTTAACAATTACATATATTGGATTATTATTCAGCCATAAAAACTAATGAAGTACTGATACATGGTACCATGGGGACAAACCTCGAAAATATTATGCTAAGTGATAAAAGCAAGACACAAAAACAAAAGGTCACTTGTTGTTTAACTTCATTTATATGAAATATCCAGAATAGATAAATCTATAGAGACAGAAAGCAGATTGGTGGTTGACAGGGGCTAGGGGTAGAGGGATGGGGAGTGACTGCTTTTAATTTGTGCAAGGTTTCATTTTGGGGTGATGAAAAGAACTTGAAACTAGACAGAGGTGATAATTACCAATACTGTGAATGTACTAAATGTCACTGAATTGTACACTTTAAAATGGTTAGTGGTTAATTTTATGCTATGTAAATTTTACCTCAATTAAAAAAAATCCTCCAAACTGTATGAACCAAAAAAAAAAAAAAAATTACTGTTAGTTTCCAAAAGGATGCTTTGAGATCTGAGATGATAGCTCAGTTTCATAAAGGTTGGTCTGTGGAAGGTGGAATTAATTATGGGAGGGTACTAAGGTTTATTTATACAGAAATGGACTACCCTAGCTTCACCAGGGTGTGGCCATGGTAAACAGACAGAGCTTGGGTAGCTTGACTACCTGTTGACAGAAAGTTATGCCTACTTCTTGGGCAGGATTGCTTGGGAAGACTGCAGCCAACTTAAAGATTCTGTGTCTTGGACACCTGGTGTGATGTGTGATCAAAAGGTGACTTTTCACACTGTGTAGTCATACCTTTGTTCAGTGATTATTTGATGGCTCCCCCTATAGACTGTAGGCTCCATGAGTTCAGAAACTGTATCTTCTCACCATTTTGTCCTTAGCATCCAGCATAGTTATTGAGTAGGCCCGCAATAAATATTTGTTTAATGAATAAACAAATGAGTTAAACTATAATTATGAGTATTTAAATTCTTCTAAAACTTGATTAAGAAAAAATTAACAGTGATTTTTTTGTTAAAAGAAGACGTTGGGGGTAGGAGTTTATTAATTTCTTTTATTTATTTTTGTTGTTTTGGGTCTTCGTTTCTGTGTGAGGGCTTTCTCTAGTTGTGGCAAGTGGGGGCCACTCTTCATCGCGGTGTGCAGGCCTCTCCCTATCGCGGCCTCTCTTTTTGCGGAGCACAGGCTCCAGACGCGCAGGCTCAGTAGTTGTGGCCCACGGGCCTAGTTGCTCCGCGGCATGTGGGATCTTCCCAGACCAGGGCTCGAACCCGTGTCCCCTGCATTAGCAGGCAGATTCTCAACCACTGTGCCACCAGGGAAGCCCCTAACAGTGATTTTAAAATACTTAAACTGTTGATTTACTTTCACGTTTAATAAAATACCAAAATATAAGCATACCATGGAGATATTGCAGGTTCAGTTCCAGTCCACTGCAATAAAGCGAATATTGCAGTAAAGCAAGTCACACAAATTTTTGGTTTCCCAGTGCATATAAAAGTTATGTTTATACTGTAGTCTATTGTATGTAATAGCATTATGTCTGAAAAAATAGTATGTACCTTAATCTAAAAATACTTTATTGCTAAAAAATGCCCAATTATAGTAACATCAAAGATTACTTATCACAGATGACCATAACAAATAATAATGAAAGTTTGAAATATTGCAAGAATTACCAAAATGTGACACAGATATGAAATGAGCAAATGCTTTTGAAAAAAAAATGGCACTGATAGACTTGCTCTATGCAGGATTACCACAAGCCTCGCAAGTTGTAAAGAAAAAAAAACAGAGTATCTGCAAAGCGCAATAAATGGAGGAGTGCCTGTGTGCTAATAAAGGGTGTGCAGAAAAGAGTTAACGTATCAGGCCTGAGGCTGCTGGCCTTAGAAGAGTCTACTTGCAAAGGGTGGCCACTGCCTGGAGTCAGGGAGCGTGGCGCTTGAACCTCTCTCTGAATCCTGGAGGTGATTTACTCTGCCTAGACTCTTTGTGCATTCTGATTTATGCTGGACACTGCTCTCCTTTGGGAGTCTGGAATTTTGCTTCCTGCTGGGCAGACAGTGCCTGCAGGATCAGCCCCAGCAGAGACCTCGGGTGCTGAGTCTCTACAGGGCTCTCCTGGGGAGAAACACTGTGCACATGTTGCTGCATTTCTTTGCTGGGGGGAAGAGGAATGTGCCCTGTGACCGTTCATGGGAGCGAGGGAGCATAAGGGAACACCTGGATTCCTCCAGCCTCTGCCTGTATCTTCTCTCCCTATCATCCAGCTGTGTCTTCTTACTACATCCATGTAATACAAACAGATACCGAGTTCTGTGAGTCCTGGGAAATCTCTGAGCATGCGGCAGTGTTCTTGGGAACCCTTGCTACTAAGTGATAATATTTGCTGAAGTACTTGCATTACAGTGTAACAAACCTCTTGGGAATAATTGGTTATTCAGTAGCATTTTTGAGTAACCGTTATGTGCCCAGCCATGCACATGGTTACCAAGGAGGAAAAAAGGAGTTGCTGTACTTAATTGTTTGCCGGGAGAGACAGATCATTATGATACATATGATAAAAGGGAGGTAGAATCAAGATGCTGTTGGAGAAAAATAAGGAGTTCCAGTTTTGGGGTCTGACAGTTCTATAGGGGAGGTGCCATGCGAACTGATTCTTTGAGTGTTGGTGGGCCATCAGGGAGTGGGAGTAGCTGGGACTCAGACTGTGAAAAGCCTTTTAAGAGTTTGCAGTTGTGGACGGGGGTGGGGAAGGACAGGAGAGAAGTTGTCCTCATTACGACATATCCGTTAGTCAGCATTGCTGCAGTCATCTGTAGCTTCTAATGGCGATTTTCCTTTTTTGTAGTTATTAAGAAATTTATGATTCAGGGTGGAGACTTCTCAAATCAGAATGGGACAGGTGGAGAAAGTATTTATGGTGAAAAATTTGAAGATGAAAATTTCCATTATAAGGTAAAGTAGACAAAAATGCGTGTTTGTTGCTGATAATAAAAGTTATGTGCCTGGGATACTTGTTGAATTAGGATAAATGCCTCAGATGTGCTCAGATCTCCTTTATTTGTGAAAGGTATCATATTTGTAAATATACATCTTTTTTTTGGTTAATAAATTTATTTATTTATTTTTGGCTGTGTTGGGTCTTCATCGCTGCGTGCGGGCTTTCTCCAGTTGCAGTGAGCGGGGGCTGCTCTTCATTGCGGTGCGCGGGCTTCTCATTGCAGTGGCTTCTCTTGTTGCAGAGCATGGGCTCTAGGCACAGTAGTTGTGGTGCGTGGGCTCAGTAGTTGTGGCTCACGGGCTCTAGAGTGCAGGCTCAGTAGTTGTGGCGCAGGGGCTTAGTCACTCCGCGGCATGTGGGATCTTCCCGGACCAGGGCTCGAACCTGTGTCCCCTGCATTGGCAGGCGGATTCCTAACCACTGCGCCACCAGGGAAGCCCCATAAATATACGTCTTTAATACGAAAAAATTTCATCCAGTAGTGATTTTATTGGCAAGAATGCAACAGCTATTTCATTGTGATCCAGGTTTATATACTTCAGTAAAGCCAATGTGTTTTTAAGGGTGGCCACCATATGGCAAAACTGTTTCCAGGAAAAATGTGCTCATCAGAGGGATGGTATGCTTTATCCTTAAATTTGAAGAGCAACAAAAGCATCGCTAATGTCTGGGATGTCAGGGGATTTGCACACTAGCAGATCTGGTTAACGTCCAGGCTCCTAAAGGACGTTAGTGGTGCCTGTGCCTTCTTATCTTCCTGGTCCCAAGATGTCCCCGTCGGGGTATGTTGCATCATTCAGGTTATAAGAATGGACGTGTAAGTACAAAAGTAAAGTGACTCTTTTTGGAAATGAGGAATATGAGCAAGGTAATGAGGATAATTTGAGAATAAAATGTCATCAGTCTTTTAAACAGTTTATTGCCTGCAGCTAGTACTGTCACTGGCGCCAAAGAGTTTATAAAAATGAAACGCCTTCATGATAAGGAATTAAAAATCTTGCCAGAAAGACAAGATTAAAACACATAGGACAACTGGAGAATAATACAATAATACGCTAGTAAATGCTAAGTTGATTGTGACTTTCTGTGTATGCTGTAGGAAGAAAGTATGATATATATTAGGGAAGACACTGAGGAGGAATGGGTACTTAAGCTGGGCAAACTGGACCTCGCAAGGTGGCTGAGATTTGGTTAGAAGGAACTAGAATACAGATGCCAGTTTGAGGGAGGGATGTGAGGGAGGGATGTGAGTGAGGAAGGACAAAGGCGTGAGGAAATAAGGTTAATAATATTTAATATCGTGGGAAGAGCACCAAACTTTTGGAAGGGAGAAAGGGAAGCTACCAGAAGGATGAACACTAAGATCATGTGACAGACGTGTTGAGAAGAAGCAAGGGGGCCTTTTGCAAGGGCATCTGGTTCTTCTACACGCTTGGTGGCCTTGAAGGCAGGGCTAGATTTAGGTTGAGGGGTAAAGGCACCTTAGGCGGGAGGACCAGCATGAGTGTTACACGTGCGGCCCAACAAGGAGTGCGTTTAGGAAGCCTTAGGGTCAGGTGGAAAGAGGAAGACAGTGGGGCCACGGAGCCTTTGAACAGGCTGGGCCAAGGTAGATGTTGGGTTTCGGGAGGTACGCGGCGGTTCCTTTTGGGCATTCTCTCAAGAAGTGCTTCACTGGATGAAAGCCGTGATATTTGGCTTCCTTGGAGAGTAGGAAAGGACCTAACGGAACTTCCAGTCTAAACTGAATGTCCCTCGCTGTTCTCAGTGTAAAGGAAGAATCATAATGTAGGCCTGAGAGCGGGAGCGCTGTTGAGTGCTTTTCAGAAAAAAACGCCCCCATCATAAGAAAGGGCAAAGCCGAATCATTAGGTCTTCATCTTAAAGACGAAGCGTAAGCACTTTCTCAATATGGCCGGTTTAGAAGTGCCACCCCTGCCCCCCACGATTGTTTCTGTTACTTCATTCCGTTTCATAAGCTTTTCTTAAAGTTTAAAAAGTGATTAAGTATCCCACGTTTTGTGAATTAAAGGTTACAGTTGGTACAAAGTAAGATTACACTACACGGTGTGATCTAAATAGTATTGCAGTCCACCCTAGTTTTGTGAATGGTTGGTAGAGAGTAATTCAGACAATAACTCTAACCTTGGTTTTCTTTAATGGCGTATTCCTGCAGCATGATAAGGAGGGATTACTGAGCATGGCAAATGCAGGCCGCAACACAAACGGCTCTCAGTTCTTCATCACGATGGTTCCGACTCCTCACTTGGATGGCAAACACGTGGTGTTTGGCCAAGTGATTAAAGGAATGGGTGTGGCAAGGATTCTGGAGAATGTGGAGGTGAAAGGTGAAAAACCTGCCAAAGTGAGTACCAAGTGACAGGGTAAGACCCTCGTTATCCTAGCTGCTGTCTTAGCAAATGTAATTAAAAGGCTCAGATGATGGTTAGCTGAAAGACGTTAGGACGGCTCTTGTTAAAGAAGCCTGGCCCTGCCACTTTTTCTTCAAAGCTCTTTTGTACACTGGGAGAGATGAGGGCAGTTTAAAAGGAGGTTGTTATGATTTCAGCATCAGTCTTGCTGATTTTGGTAACTTAACTCTCCTAGACCTGCAAAACTTTGAGTCAGTGTGTATATGAGTACAGAGAGAGCAGGAAACCGGGAAACTTGGTCTCCTCTCTGCCATTTAACTTGTGGTTTAGGCTTGCTCTTGTTATTTAACTTTCCTTGGCCCGTTTCCTCAGCCTGCATAAATCATTTAAGGGTTTAGACTGGATTATGTCACTCCCAAGAGGCTTGTGCTCTAAATGTGTGTGAATCCACCCTCACGGGCAGGGTTGTGAGTGGAATTGGAGACTCAGACCTGCAGGAGGGGGGCTGCCACTCAGTGTGCGAAGGAAACAGCAGTCAGTGAGTCGAAGGCACGTGCCCACGTAAGGAGAATCCCACGGGGAACGATGAAACTTCCCACATAGTCTGTGTGCACGGAGCTCCTGGACAGCAGCACCAGGCACGTATGCTGCGAAGTGACCCTGCTGTGCTCCTCGGGGTGTGTGCAGAGGTGCGCCTCCCGACGCCAGCCTGTCGCGTCAGAAGCAGCTTGGACGCTGTTGCTCATGCCTTGCGGCTGGAGAGCTTTTAAGCCCAGACTCTTGTTAAAGTCGTCATTAATAAGGTAGACGCTTCTACAGTTGACGGTTGTTTTTACAGTTGTGTGTTACTGCAGACTGCGGAGAACTGAAGGGCGGGGATGACTGGGGAATATTCCCCAAGGATGGATCTGGTGACAGTCATCCAGACTTCCCCGAGGATGCAGACATAGATGTAAAAGACGTGAGTACTTTCATGTGGGTTAAAGTTTAAGTACTTAAACTGCTAAAAATATTTAGCCCTAAAATTTTGAGCTTTTTGTATCAGTCTGTCTCAATGATAGAACTTAGCACTAAACCGCGTTATATACTAAAACCCAACATATTCGTGTTCTTTCTTTTGTACAGGTAGATAAAATTTTATTAATAACGGAAGACTTAAAAAACATTGGAAATACTTTTTTCAAATCCCAGAACTGGGAGATGGCCATTAAAAAATACACAAAAGTTTTAAGGTAATAAAATATTTTTAATAAATTGCTGTAAGAACTTGAAATTGAATTATAAACTGAAATTCAAGAGTTGTTCTATTTTTGGCATATTACTTGCAGAGTAATCAGGTGTATTGAAATAGTTGCACTTCTTTGGTTGCTTCCAGATTCTTATTTTGAAAAATTTCAAAACACAGAAAAGTTAAGAATAGTACATGGATAGCCATGTACCTTTACCTGTGTTCACCAGTTTTTAAGTTTCGCCACACTTGTTTTTGCAGAATCATTTTGAAAGGAAGTTGCAGATACCATGACACTTTACCCCTCAATATCTTAGCAAGCATTTCCTGAGAAGCCAGGACACTCTTCTACTTAGCCTTAAGACTATGAAAACATCTCCCAAATATCATTATGTCATCCATATTCAGAGGTCCCCAGTTGTTTCAATTTTGTTTTGTTTTTACGCCAGTATCCATTATATCCTTTGGTTTTATGTCTCTAAGGCTCCTCTAATCTTTAATCTCCACGTTTTTTAGTCATTTGCATTTTGTGGCGTCGAAGCCCGTTGTCTTACGGAATACCATCTGTGTGTTTATTGCTTCCTCAAGGTTAGTTTGAGGTTACATATTTTAGCAAGGACTTGAATAGGTGACGTGTATGTTTCCTATGATACCGTGTCCTGAAGGCACGTGGCAGTTTCGCCCGTTTTGAGTTTTGGCACTTGGTTAAAGTGGCGTTAGCCACGTCTCTGTTATGAAAGTACCTTTCCCCTTTGTAAATAATAAGCCCTCTGTGAGGTGATAACTGTGAGATTATGTGAACATCTCATTCCTGGCCTTTCATCCAGTGGTTTCAGCACCATTGAAGCCCTTCGCCTGAATCAGTTATTACACTGACGCTTGCAGAACTGCGATTTTCTCATTCTGCAGTTACGAGCTGGCATTCTTCTGTTTGAAAGACCCTCTACCCCTCCTTCTTTTAAAGTATTACTGTAGTATTTGATCAATTCAACGAATTATACTATTACCTTCGTTCTTTCTGATGCTTGAAGGCTTCCCGATTGTCTGATGGGAGCCCCTTTCCTGTATCTCTTTGTTCCTGTATCTCTTTGACTGTTCTGTTAGTCTGTGAGCTCTTGCTTTCTGCCACAAGATGGTCCAGACCCATCTTATACTTAACCCTGTGTCCAGATCTGAGTTTCTCCAAGGAGCCCTGATTCTTTTCAGTGGGGGACAGACTCTAGAAATCAAATTCTGGGGGCCAGGCCCTTTTCAGTAAACAGCTAGGAACTATAGTAAAAGACAAGTCAGAATCACCATCACAGGGCTCTTCACCTGTCCCCATTCCAGTCCCTGTCCCACAATGACAGTCTTGGTTCCAAACCTAATTACACTGGAAAGTGGGTGATGGAAACCTGAGCTTTACAAATAGAAGTGTTCCTTACTGTATAATCTCTAGGTTTGGGGATTGTTCTTAAGTTGTCTTCTTTGAACATTTTGGGAAAGAAGTTGGAACAAGTAAAAATCTTCTAAAGGAAAGCATTTAATAAAAAGATTGTGGTCATTAAGAACATTAATATTAGCATGTGGTGAACTTTCATATCAGAACTGACGCAGCACGTTTTGACCGAGTGGAGGAGAGCAGAGTTAAGTCTTAATGGGGGCTGCTTGCTGCTTGTACCGATGTGTTCTCCAGGTATGTGGAAGGCTCGAAGGCTGCTACTGAGAACGCAGGCAGAGCAAAGCTGCAGCCTGTCACTTTGAGCTGCCTGCTGAATATCGGAGCCTGCAAACTGAAGCTGTCCGATTGGCAGGGAGCAGTCGACAGCTGTTTGGAGGTAAGTCTGTTGATGTTACCTTTTTGAAAGAGTTGGATGATGACTTACTACTTCGAACAAAAGCAGTTTTATGTGACACTACTGCTATCTTATTGCGGAGGACCTAGTGAGATCCGGTGAAACATAATCTAAGTCACTTTATCTCTGAGTATTTTGGACCTCAGTTCTTCCTCTCAGACCATTCATTTAGCTTATAACACTACATCACTTAATTTCTCTGAAGACACTTTCCTCCTCAGCTCATTTATTCACTTAACACTTGAGCGCCTGTTATGTGCCAGGCATTGGAAGACAGAGCCAGGAATGACTGCGACGGTGGCCGGCGAGGTTGTTAGCAGAGCGTCGTCGCTTTGCCATCTTGAGCAAGTTCCTACTTGGAGAGTCTGAGTTTCTTCGTACGCCAAATGGAAATACTGCTTTCCTCCTGGGATTGTTAAGACCATGTGTAATGCACGTAAAGCCTTTAGCGCAGTGCTGGGAGCAGGTTAAGCAGCTAACACACTTCAGTGTTTTAATTGAAAGACCCTCCCCTCGAGGAGCTTGAGGAGCTTTTTTGGTGGGAGAAGGAGTCAGTTTCAACGTAGGGTCGTCAGGACTTGTACAGGGACAGTGCGTGCTGTTGGAACACACAGGAAGGTGCCCTACCTTCACGGGGACGTCCGGGAGTGCTAATGACAAAGCTGGCAAGGTGGCAGCCTGCCTGCCTTAAACAGAGCAGTTATGACTGCCTCCCTCTTGCACAGTTTGAGCAGTTTTCCAAACTAAAACATATATTTTAGAAAGACCGCCTCTAGTAACTTTTATGTATATTGCACATTAATCTAGGTCACAAAGATCAGCTATGCCCGAGCAAGTGGAAATAAAATGAGGTCCTAATTTAGTGGGGTAGGTGGAATAAGGAATAAGAATGTGTTTATTAGGAGGGAACATGCGACAGAGGACGAGATTGCTCTTCACTCTGGATCGCTTTTTGACCTTTGTGAGGCAGATAATATACACCCTTTTCAGTAAAATCCGAATATTGACCTCTAAAAGATGTTACTAAATACACTATTTTTAAAATGTTTCAGAGGAAAAACCTATTAGAAGTTACTCATGCTCCTGAAAAACCCCTAGATGTCAACTAAATGAGTGTATCCAAATTTCTATCCAGAATGTTTTTCTCCTATCAGCTAGGGCCCAATCAGGAGATAGACACCACACAGTAATTCCAACAGAGAAAGGTTACTGTCGGATACACATAAGGGGCAGATTGGAGTAGCGAGGGGTTGGCTAGGAGAGGGAACGCTGAAGGATCGGGGCATTGCAGGGTATATGTGTATGTATATGTGCAGAGACGTGTGTGATACAGGAGCAGCTGCTCCCTCTGGGGTGCATGGAGGCCCTGGGCCGAGACCCAGGCGCGACGGGGAGGGGGGCTGGGCCACACTGGGTGCCCCGGAGCTTGGGGGAGCTCGCGGGAGGCTCGCAGGGACCTGGAAGGGAAGTGGGTCCCTCGGCCGTGGGCACTGGGCGCCCTCTGCTGACAAAGCAGCGTGTAACCGGAGGCTCTCAGGGCCCAGCGCCCTTATCACAGAACAGCGAACGGCTGTTTTGGAGCTGACGGGCAGTAAATGGAAATCCAGCATGTATACTTAGTACTCAGTACTTAGATAAAAATATTAACTGTATAACTTTCTGTAGGCCCTTGAAATAGATCCGGCAAATACCAAAGCACTGTACCGTAGAGCCCAAGGATGGCAAGGACTAAAAGAATACGACCAAGCATTGGTAAAGTTTTGTTTTAAATTTTATTTTTTAACATCTTTATTGGAGTATAATTGCTTTACAATCGTGTGTTAGTTTCTGCTTTACAACAAAGTGAATCAGTTACACATATACATATATCCCCGTATCTCTTCCCTCGTGTCTCACTCCCACCCTCCCTATCCCACCCCTCTAGGTGGTCACAAAGCGCCGAGCTGATGTCCCTGTGCTATGCGGCTGCTTCCCACTAGCTATCTGTTTTACGTTTGGTAGTGTGTATATGTCATTGCCACTCTCTCACTTTGTCCCAGCTTACCGTTCCCCCTCCCCGTATCCTCAAGTCCATTCTCTAGTAGGTCTGCATCTTTATTCCTGTCCTGCCCCTAGGTTCTTCATGACCATTTTTTTTTTTTTTTTTAGATTCCGTATATATGTTAGCATACGGTATTTGTTTTTCTCTTTCTGACTTACTTCACTCTGTATGACAGTCTCTCGGTCCATCCACCTCACTACAGACAACTCAGTTTTGTTCCTTTTTATGGCTAATATTCCATTGTATATATGCGCCACTTCTTCTTTATCCATTCCTCTGTTGATGGACACTTACGTTGCTTCCATGTCCTGGCTATTGTAAATAGAGCTGCAATAAACACTGTGGTACATGACTTTTTTTGAATTATGGTTTTCTCAGGGTATATGCCCAGTAGTGGGATTGTTGGGTCATACGGTAGTTCTATTTTTAGTTCTTTAAGGAACCTCCATACTGTTCTCCATAGTGGCTGTATCAGTTTATATTCCCACCAACAGTGCAAGAGGGTTCCTTTTTCTCCACACCCTCTCCAGCATTTATTGTTTGTAGATTTTTTGATGATGGCCATTCTGACTGCTGTGAGGTGATACCTCATTGTAGTTTTGATTTGCATTTCTCTAATGATTAATGATGTTGAGCATTCTTTCATGTGTCTGTTGGTAATCTGTATACCTTCTTTGGAGAAATGTCTTCTGCCCATTTTTGGAGTGTGTTGTTTGTTTTTTTAATATTGAGCTGCATGAGCTGCTTGTATATTTTGGAGATTAATCCTTTGTCAGTTGCTTCATTTGCAAATATTTTCTCCCATTCTGAGGGTTGTCTTTTCGTCTTGTTTATGGTTTCCTTTGCTGTGCAAAACCTTTTAAGTTTCCTTAGGTCCCATTTGTTTATTTTTGCTTTTATTTCCATTTCTCTAGGAGGTGGGTCAAAAAGAATCTTGCTGTGATTTATGTCATAGAGTGTTCTGCCTATGTTTTCCTCTAAGAGTTTGATGGTGTCTGGCCTTACATTTAGGTCTCTAATCCATTTTGAATTTATTTTTGTGTATGGTGTTAGGGAGTGTTCTAATTTCATTCTTTTACATGTAGCTGTCCAGTTTTGCCATCACTACTTACTGAAGAGGCTGTCTTTTCTCCATTGTATATTCTTGCCTCCATTATCAAAAATAAGGTGGCCATATGTGCATGGTTTTTTCTCTGGGCTTTCTATCCTGTTCTGCTGATCTATATGTCTGTTTTTGTGCCAATATCATACCGTCTTGATGACTATAGCTTTGTAGTATAGTCTGAAGTCCAAGCCTGATTCCTCCAGCTCCATTTTTCTTTCTCAAGATTGCTTTGGCTATTTGGGGTCTTTTGTGTTTCCATACAAATTGTGAAATTTCTTGTTCTAGTTCTGTGAACAGTGCCACTGGTAGTTTGATAGGGACTGCGCTGAATCTGTAGATTGCTTTGGGTAGTAGAGTCATTTTCACAATGTTGATTCTTCCAATCCAAGAACATAGTATATCTCTCCATCTGTTGGTTTCATCTTTAATTTCTTTCATCAGTGTCTTATAATTTCCTGCATACAGGTCTTTTGTCTCCTTAGGTAGGTTTGTTCCTAGATATGTTATTCTTTTTGTGGCAGTGGTAAGTGGGAGTGTTTCCTTAATTTCTCTTACAGATTTTTCATCGTTAGTGTATAGGAATGCAAGAGACTTCTGTGCATTAATTTTGTATCCTGCTACTTTACTAAGTTCATTGATTAGTTCTAGTAGTTTTCTGGTGGCATTTTTAGGATTCTCTATGTATAGTATCATGTCATCTGCAAACAGTGAGAGCTTTACTTCTTTTCCAATTTGGATTCCTATTATTTCTTTTTCTTCTCTGATTGCAGTGGCTAAAACTTCCAAAACTATGTTGAATAAGAGTGGTGAGAGTGGGCAACCTTGTCTTGTTCCTGATCTTAGTGGAAATGCTTTCAGTTTTTCACCATTGAGGACGATGTTGGCTGTGGGTTTGCCATATATGGCCTTTATTATGTTGAGGAAAGTTCCCTCTAGGCCTACTTTCTCGAGGGTTTTTATCACAAATGGGTGTTGAATTTTGTCGAAAGCTTTCTCTGCATCTACTGAGATGACCATATGGTTTTTCTCCTTCAATTTGTTAATATGGTGTATCACATTGATTGATTTGCGTATATTGAAGAATCCTTGCATCCTTGGGATAAACCCCACTTGATCATAGTGTATGATCCTTTTAATGTGCTGTTGGATTGTGTTTGCTACTATTTTGTTGAGGATTTTTGCATCTGTGTTTATCAGTGATATTGGCCTGTAGTTTTCTTTGTGACATCTTTGTCTGGTTTTGGTATCAGGGTGATGGTGGCCTCGTAGAATGAGTTTGGGAGTGTTCCTCCCTCTGCTATAGTTTGGAAGGTTTTGAGAAGGATAGGTGTTAGCTCTTCTCTAAATGATGCATAGAATTCGCCTGTGAAGCCATCTGGTCCTGGGCTTTTGTTTGTTGGAAGATTTTTTTTTTTTTTGGTGGTATGCGGGCCTCTCACTGTTGTAGCCTCTCTCGTTGTGGAGCACAGGCTCTGGACACGCAAGCTCAGGGGCCATGGCTTACGGGCCCAGCCACTCTGCGGCACGTGGGATCTTCCCGGACCAGGGCACAAACCCGTGTCCCTTGCATCGGCAGGCAAACTCTCAATGACTGTGCCACCAGGGAAGCCCTTGTTGGAAGATTTTTAATCACAGTTTCAATTTCAGTGCTTGTGATTGGTCTGTAGATATTTTCTATTTCTTCCTGGTTTGGTCTCTGAAGGTTGTGCATTTCTAAGAATTTGTCCATTTCTTCCAGGTTGTCCACTTTATTGGCATACACTTGCTTGTAGTAATCTCATGATCCTCTGTATTTCGGCAGTGTCATTTGTTACTTCTCATTTTTCATTTGTAATTCTATTGCTTTGAGTCTTCTCCCTTTTTTTTTTTTTGATAAGTCTGGCTAATGGTTTATCAATTTTGCTTATTTTCTCAAAGAATCAGTTTTTAGTTTTATTGCTCTTTGCTATCGTTTCCTTCACTTCTTTTCCTTTATTTCTGATTGGATCTTTATGATTTCTTTCCTAATGCTAACTTTGGGGTTTTTTTGTTCTTCTTTCTCTAATTGCTTTAGGTGTAAGGTTAGGTTGTTTATTTGAGATGTTTCTTGAGGTAGGATTGTACTGCTATAAACTTCCCTCTTAGAACTGCTTTTGCTGCCTCCTATAGGTTTTGGGTCATCATGTTTTCATTGTCATTTGTTTCTAGGTATTTTTTGATTTCCATTTTGATTTCTTCAGTGATCTCTTGGTTATTTAGTAGCATATTATTTAGACTCCATGTGTTTGTATCTCTTACAGATCTTTTTCCTGTAATTGATACCTAGCCTCACCGTTGTGGTTGGAAAAGATACTTGATACGATTTCAGTTTTCTTAAATTTACCAGGGCTTGATTTGTGACCCAAGATGTGATCTATCCTGGAGAATGTTCCATGAGCACTTGAGACCAACGTATATTCTGTTGTTTTTGGGTGGAATGTCCTATAAATATCAATTAAGTCCATCTTGTTTAATGTATCATTTAAAGCTGGTGTTTCCTTATTTATTTTCATTTTGGATGATCTGTCCATTGGTGAAAGTGGGGTGTTAAAGTCCCCTACTATGACTGTGTTATTGTCGATTTCCCCTTTTATGGCTGTTAGTATTTGCCTTATGCATTGAGATGCTCCTATGTTGGGTGCATAAATATTTACAATTGTTATATCTTCTTCTTGGATCGATCCCTTGATCAGTATGTAGTGTCCTTCTTGGTCTCTTGTAATAGTCTTTGTTTTAAAGTCTATTTTGTCTGATATGAGAATTGCTACTCCAGCTTTCTTTTGGTTTCCATTTGCATGGAATATCTTTTTCCATCCCCTCACTTTCAGTCTGTACGTGTCCCTAGGTCTGAAGTGGGTCTCTTGTAGACAGCGTATATATGGGTCTTGTTTTTCTATCCATTCAACCAGTCTACGTCTTTTGGTGGGAGCATTTAATCCATTTACATTTAAGGTAATTATCGATATGTATGTTCCTATTACTATTTTCTTAATTGTTTTGGGTTTATTATTGTGGGTCTTTTCCTTCTCCTGTGTTTCCTGCCTAGAGAAGTACCTTTAGCGTTTGTTGTAAAGCTGGTTTGGTGCTGCTGAATTCTCTTAGCTTTTGCTTGTCTGTAAAGGTTTTAATTTCTCCATCAAATCTGAATGAGATCCTTGCTGGGTAGAGTAATCTTGGTTGTAGGTTTTTCTCCTTCATCACTTTAAATATGTCCTGCCACTCCCTTCTGGCTAGTAGAGTTTCTGCTGAAAGATCAGCTGTTAACCTTATGGGGATTCCCTTATGTGTTATTCGTTGTTTTTCCCTTGCTGCTTTTAATATTTGTTCTTTGTATTTAATTTTTGATACTTTGATTAATATGTGTCTTGGCGTGTTTCTCCCTGGATTTATCCTGTATGGGACTCTCTGTGCTTCCTGGACTTGATTAACTATTTCCTTTCCCATATTAGGGAAGTTTTCAACTATAATCTCTTCAAATATTTTCTCAGTCATTTTCTTTTTCTCTTCTTCTTCTTGGACCCCTATAATTCGAATGTTGGTGTGTTTAATGTTGTCCCAGAGGTCTCTGAGACTGTCTTCAATTCTTTTCATTTTTTTTCTTTATTCTACTCTGAGGTAGTTATTTCCACTATTTTATCTTCGAATTCACTTATCCGTTCTTCTGCCTCAGTTATTCTGCTATTGATCCCTTCTAGAGAATTAATTTCATTTATTGTGTGGTTCATCACTGTTTGCTCTTCAGTTCTTCTAGGTCCTTGTTAAACGTTTCTTGTATTTTCTCCATTCGATTTCCAAGATTTTGGATCACCTTTACTATCATTGTTCTGAATTCTTTTTCAGGTAGAGTGCCTATTTCCTCTTCATTTGTTAGGTCTGGTGGGTTTTTGCCTTGCTCCTTCATCTGCTGTGTGTTTCTCTGTCTTCTCCTTTTGCTTAACTTACTGTGGTCTCCTTTTTGCAGGCTGCAGGTTCATAGTTCCCGTTGTTTTTGGTGTCTGCCCCCAGTGGCTAAGGTTGGTTCAGTGGGTTGTGTAGGCTTCCTGGTGGAGGGGACTAGTGCCTGTGTTCTGGTGGATGAGGCTGGATCTTGTCTTTCTGGTGGGCAGGTCCACGTCTGGTGGTGTGTTTTGGGGTGTCTGAGGCCTTATTATGATTTTAGGCAGCCTCTCTGCTAATGGGTGGGTTTGTGTTCCTGTCTTGCTAGTTGTTTGGCATAGGGTGTCCAGCACTGGAGATTGCTGGCCATTGGGTGGAGCTGGGTCTTGGTGTTGAGATGGAGATCTCTGGGAGAGTTTCGCTGTTTGATATTACGTGGAGCTGGGAGGTCTCTGGTGGACCAGTGTCCTGAACTTGGTTCTCCCACCTCAGAGGCTCAGGCCTGACGCCTGGCTGGAGCAACAAGAGCCTGTCCTCCACGCAGCTCAAAATAAAATGTAGGAAAAAAAGAAAGAAAGAAAAAGAAGATAAAGTTATTAAAATAAAAAATATTAAGAAAAAATATTTTATAAGTAATAATAAAAAAAAAAGGACAGACAGAACCCTAGGACAAATGGTAAAAGAAAGCTATACAGACAAAACCACACACAGAAGCATACACATACACACTCAGAAAAAGAGAAAAAGGGAAAGAAAATATGTATCGTTGCTCCCAAAGTCCACCTCCTCAATTGGGGATGATTGGTTGTCTATTCCTGTATTCCACAAATGCAGGGTACATCAAGTTTATTGTGGAGATTTAATCCGCTGCTCCTGAGGCTGCTGGGAGAGATTTCCCTTTCTCTTCTTTGTTCGCACAGCTCCTGGGGTTCAGCTTTGGATTTGGCCCCGCCTCTGCGTGTAGGTCGCCGGAGGGCGTCTGTTCTTCGCCCAGACACGACGGTGTTAAAGGAGCTGCTGATTCGGGGGCTCTGGCTCAGTCAGGCCGGTGGGAGGGAGGGGTACAGATGTGGGGCGAGCCTGCAGCGGCAGAGGCCGGCATGGCATTGCACCAGCCTGAGGCGTGCTGTGCGTTCTCCCGGGGGAGTTGTCCCTGGATCCCGGGACCCTGGCAGTGGCGGGCTGCACAGGCTCCCGGAAGGGAGGTGTGGATAGTGACCTGTGCTCGCACACAGGCTTCTTGGTGGCGGCAGCAGCAGCCTTAGCATCTCATGCCCGTCTCTGGGGTCCGTGCTTTTAGCTGAGGCTCGTGCCCGTGTCTGGAGCTCATTTAGGTGGTGCTCTGAATCCCCTCTCCTCGCGCACCACCTGCCTCTTCGGCAGGTCCAGACCTTTTCCCGGACTCCCTCCTGGCCAGCCGTGGCGCACTAGCCCCCTGCAGGCTGTGTTCACGCCGCCAATCCCAGTCCTCTCCCTGGGATCTGACCAAAGCCCGACCCTTAGCTCCCAGCCCCCGCCCACCCTGGCGGGTGAGCAGACAAGCCTCTCGGGCTGGTGAGCGCCGGTTGGCACAGATCCTCTGTGCAGGAATCTCTCCGCTTTGCCCTCCGCACCCACCCCTGTGGCTGCGCTCTCCTCCGTGGCTCCGAAGCTTCCCCCCTCTGCCACCCGCAGTCTCAGCCCGTGGAGGGGCTTCTAGTGTGTGGAAACCTTTCCTCCTTCATGGCTCCCTCCCAGAGGTGTGGGTCCCGTCCCTATTCTTTTCTCTGTTTTTTCTTTTTCTTTTGCCCTACCCAGGTACGTGGGGGAGTTTCTTGCCTTTTGGGAGGTCTGAGGTGTTCTGCCAGCATTCAGTAGGTGTTCTGTAGTTGTTCCACGTGTAGATGTAGTTTTGATGTATCTGTGGGGAGGAAGGTGATGTCCATGTCTTACTCCTCCGCCATCTTGAAGCTCCTCTCTGTTTTAAATTTTAATTAAAAAAACCACTTTCATAACTCATAACCTAATATTTCTTTAATTTTTTTTCCCAATTAAAGGCTGATCTTAAGAAAGCTCAGGAGATAGCACCAGAGGATAAAGGTAAGTTGGCAGTTTCTGTAGTGCAAGTTCATTTTGTCCCTTCAGAATTGATCCTCATGAACTAGCATACGCTTTGTCACTTAGAGGTTGCCTTGTCCAGCAGATACTGCAGAGCGCCTGTTCCAGGCCAGGCTCCAGGCATGCTGGAGAAGGCACAAGTCAGGGTTCTGCCTTCAGCTTACACTGCAGCCACTGTCCATGTGTCTGAAGACTGTGTGCTCTGCTGTCCTGTAATTCTAGATGGAAGAGCAGCATTAGAAGACACAGTATTTAGGGCGAATTTAGTGTTTGGGACCATTTCTTAAGCTGAACGTGGCCATGACCTAAGTATTCTAGCTACTGAATATGTTTTAGGAAAGTTTTGGAAAGCTGCGACAAAAATAAGCCTGTTTTTCAAATAAACCAAGTACAAATGGTGATTCTAGGTCTAGATGTGGAAATAGGTCTTTGGGGAGGCACTTCAGTGGGGTCCCCCCTCTGATGGAAGGGAGAAGGCGTATCTGTGTGTAATTCAGTTAGTTCTCTCGGTGGACAGTCTCCTAAAATTGTGCTCTGTGGTTTTTATGTTTGTGTGGTCGCTTTCTCCAAGTAAAATACACTGTTAATAAGGCTCAGTTACCCTTCAAAGAGTTATATCATTTTTTATCACACTAAAGCATGAGTTTGCTGGTCAGCCTAATTTTTTGGATGTTTTGAGAAATAACTCATATTACATATTTATTTTGCAGCTATCCAGGCAGAATTGCTGAAAGTCAAGCAAAAGATAAAGGCACAGAAAGATAAAGAGAAGGCAGCTTATGCAAAAATGTTTGCTTAATAAGGAATTCAGTTTTGCTTAAGTATGCATTGAAGTGAGACAGTTAAAGGATCTTGTCTATTATGTATGATCCCTAATGTGTTCCCTCTGACAATTCAGTTCCCCTTGTTTGCAGTCTAGGAATACAGGTAGGGATTCACTCTTAATAGACCAGTGTTACAAAATATGCTGAAGTTGGACTCATTTTAAATGGCTCTCTGCATTACAAAGGATAATAGTGTCCAGTGTATTTTAAACTTCTAGACACATCTTGTTTGAATAAACAGATCAAAAGTTAAGTATGTATGTTGTTTTTCTCAGTTCTTTGATGCATCTCTCTGTGACGTGTGTGCAGGGCTGGCAGACGTCTCTAAAGGGTCAGGTAGACATTACAGTCTGTCACAGCTACCCAGTTCTGCACTTGGAGCTCAGAAGCCCCCATCGACAGTGTGTAAGCCAGGAGGCACTGCTGTGTTCCAGTAAAACTGCGTAAGAAGAGTGGTGGGCTGGACGCCAACCTCTGGTCTAGGAGATACACTTCGCTGGAAGTGCTGAGCCTGATGAGTCAAATGTACATTGGAGGCCAGTAGTGCCAATAGTGTTCGAATCTCGGAAGACTTGGAGAGAGAAGTAGATGCTACATCACTTATAAAGTTTTATTTAAGAGACATTCATAATTTTTTATGGGACAGTTTTAGGTATAGTATAAAATTATTTCACTGATAATTACTTTATGAACATTCTGATCAAAAATATATTTAAGCTTTTTTGACACCTGTGAACTTCCAAACATTTGAAGTTAACTTGCCGTCCATTTTAGAGACACTGGCACGGGTGAAGCCGGCTGCAGTTTACATTCCATTGTATGCTGGGCCTCCACCGCCTTCGGGTACCACCCAGTTAATATTCTGACTTGGATCCTTAATATCACATGTTTTACAGTGCACACAGTTCTGAGCATTTATCTGTAGCCGAAATCCATCACCTTGTTCCAAAGGTACAAATTCATAAACTCCTGTAAGAAAACATAGGCAACTCCGTGCAGTAGCTGCCTTTAAAGCAGAGGCTAAAGTCCTGGAGAAATTAGCCACAGAAGCCCTCAGCGTTTGTGGACTGAATGTTTACCCACAGAATATTACAGAGATCTGGGTGTGTGCATTTGCTGTTGTATAAATTAAAAATGATAAAAGCACAAGGTACGGCAGCATGTGGCTGAGTTGGTGTTACCAACAAGGGAACTCGAGGTTGAGCAGTTTTCGGGTGTGATGTTATATACGGACATACTTCAGAGACCCAGACGCTGCAATAAAGTGAATTATCACAATAGAGCAAGTCATGTGAATTTTTTTGTTGCCAGTGCATATGTAACAGTTACACTTATGCTACTTTGCAGTCTGTGAAGCGTGCAATAACAGCATTATGTCTAAAAAACAATGTACATGCCTTACTTAAAATACACTTTATTGCTAAAAAATGCTATCTGAGCCTTCAGCAAGTCGTACTAACATCAAAGATCACGGAGCACAATATCAAATATAATAATGAGAAAGTTTGAAATTTTGCAAGAATTACCGCATGTGACACGTGGAGTGAGCAAATGGAAAAATGGCGCCAGTAGGCTTCTTCAGCACGGGGTTGCCAGGGACCTTCGCTTTGTAAAAAGCAGCAGTGTCTGCCAGGTGCAATAAAATGTGATCTTTCCGTATACATGTGTGCCACGACTGCACAGATTAGGTCAGCCCTTACCCTCAGCTTACAACCCAGTGAGATGACAGAAATGGTGAAAAGATAAAAGTCAAGACAGTCAAGGTCCCTCCCTCACAGAACGTATGTTCTAGTTCCTGTCCAGAAGGTACTGATTTTCACACACCTGAATGCTGTTCTACCAGCACTCGAGACCCAGTTCCTACTATAATTCTAGTTGAAAGCTCAGCACTGGAAGATACTGTATCCATGATGCATTTGAAGTCCAGGACGATTTCCCTGAGCTGCATGTGGCCAAAATCTAGTATTTTAGGCTATGTACACATATATAATGTATATGTGTGTGTGTACATGAGCATACATATATACAGACAGGAGCAGCCATGACAGAAACGATTTTTTTTTAAGTCACATGAACATGGAAAGAGGTGTTTGGTGCTTTTCCCCGTAACCCTTAACCTCGCGCTGAGGGTGAAAAGAGAAAGGCTGCTTTTGAGAAATGCCATCTGAATTAGGCTTAATGAGAAATCCCTACTACTATAGCATTAGAGTAGAAACATAAGAATGAGTTTTCAAAAGGAAGCTGGAGATGGGAGTCATTTACAATTTCCAAGCAATAGAAGGAGAAATTAAAAAAACGGAAGCCTATTTCTAACGTGTTTCAAGCAAATCCTCCTATTGACGTTTCAGGAGTGGATGGAAATGAGTGTACTGACCTGCAGGGCAGAACCGCTGCTCAGGCCCGTCGTATATGGTCAGGTTTCTGTTTACAGGTACACTGTCATCTTTCAAGGTCAGATGTGCCGGCTGGTCGTGTTCGTGGTTGGTGCCACTCAGAGCCACGGACGACAAAAGGTCAAAACTGATCTGCCCATCTGGTTTTGGATAGTCAATAGGTGTGCAGTCCTTGGCTGGCTTGAGCTGATCAGAGTCAGAACCTTCCCAAGTTTTGAGGAAGGTTTTTAGTAAAAATGTATCTAATTCTAAAGTACTTCCTTAGATATTTTAATAAAAACCTGTAAATATTATACTGAAGAAATAAGACTTTAGCCCTCTTTCAACAATGATACCCTGTCCTCCTAAAGATATTGAATTCATCATTTCTCTAAGAAAGCAAGTTTAAAATAGTAAAGTGTAGAAGGTCACCTTCTTTCCCTACTTACTGGATCCCGTTTCCTGAGTTAAGGACTAACATTCATACTCAGGCCGGAATTACCTTTATGTTTTAGGGTCCAGGGCTCCATCCCTCTGAATATCCAGTAGAAGATTCCAGTGTAAATCATCCCTCCGTACACACCCAGGACGCCATGGCAGGACGGTCTGACGTTCCTGATGGCATATAGCTCTTTCCACACCCATGATTTCTTCAAATTGTCCTCATACTCAGTTACATCAAGTCCTTTTTATGAAAAGCATGAAATGTTAAGTGAAATTGCCTCAAGGAGTATAAAACACTTTATTGTCAAGGTACTTTGCTACCGAAATAACATGACTTTTACATAGTTAAAAAAGCAGGTGGTCATGTGAGACCACACTTGAAGAACGTTTCATGTATAAATGCTGACATCTTCCAAAAAGATACCCATTTGATAGGTTGTTTAACAGGCAGTAAGGCCATACTGGTAGCATGGAAAATTAGTTGCAAAATTCAATGAACCTGAAAAGGAAGCTAGGAGAGTTTATGCTACCTATGGAGCTGATCACTGAAACACTTCTGTCACGGGCTGAACCGTGAAGGCCCAGAGCGGTATTTTCAAGTCCTGACCCCTAGTTGTCTCAGAATCGGTCAGAAGAGGGTCGCTGCCGGTATACCGAGTTAAGACAAGGGCATGCTGGAGCGGCCTGGACCCTTGGTCCAATGACTGGCGTCCAGGAGACAGCCAGAGGAAGACAAGGCAGGGGCTGGCGGTGCTCTGCCAGGAGCCCAGGGCCCCCGGAAGCTGGAGACTCGGACACAGCTGCGAAGTGCTCGCCTGCGGAACTCCGAATACCTTCCTGGTTAAAGCTGCCCAGCTCGTAGTGCTCGGCTGTGGTGGTCCTAGGAGGTGGCAGCACCTAAAGCTTGGGGCCCTGCACTTAATCTCCAACAGGACATCCTCGTTCTCGTGACCACCCTCCTCCTGGTGCCGGTGACCTGCCTGCTCCGGCCCGACCTGCGCGGGGCAAGCGGGCTGGCGCCCAGCGGGACGCGGACTTGGTGAGGCGGTCTGAGGCACTGGCCCTGCCTCTCCTGTCCCCGAGCGTGCCTGAAGGTACAGTCCACCTGGAGGAGCGTGTCACCCGACTACGGAACGCAGCTCATCTATCGGGTATCTACGGACTTGCTCCTGGTGTTTGCGTCCACAGGGAGCCAAGCCCCTGCTCTGGGAGGAGTGTTCCGTCCAAGGAAACGAGGGTGATCAATAAGTACGTTAAACAGTGAGCCGAGCCGGAAGGTGGAACACACCGGAGAGGGAGCGGCGCGGCGAGAGGGGCTGGCAGGGCTGTGTGCCTGTGTGCGCGCGTGCGCGGTGCAGATTCACTGGTGAGGTCCGCGCGAGGCCCCCGGAGAGAGATCCGAGCCGAGGTGCGGGGAGCTTGGGGGCCGGCCATCAGCTGGGTGCCGCCCCCGGGACCCAGGAAGCATGTCTGGGATGGAGGGTGACAGGAGGTGAAGGCGGAGGCGGGTCCGCTGCCTGCCCTGGAGTGAAGGTCTGGGGGCGCCTGCAAGGGTCCACCTGGGCCTGTGCGATGTGAGGCGGGACCCTCACGTTGAACTTGTTTCCAGGGGGCGGGACACCTCAGGCCCGTTCTACTTTCCATTCATGAAACGTCACGTGGCCGTAAAAACCTCACGGCGAGCAGGCTGCAGTGTGCTTTGCCCAGCAGGCATCTTGACGCTTTGTGTAGAGGGACAGTCACACTGCATCTTTCAATGCCCAATGAGATAAACGTACAAGACGGCAAGATTTCTAACTGTATCTACTGTCGTCCTCCATCTGTACACTGAGTGTATGTTTAAATAGCTTCTTTTTAAACATCCCCATGAAGAACGTGAGATTAAATGGGAGTTCTTACCTATCGTCTTTGATTGGAGATTCTCACTAGTTAGTTGATTAAAAATAGATTCTGCTGCCAAAATCCCACTTTTCATTGCTGTGTGGGTCCCTTTGATCTTGGGAACATTCATGAAACCAGGGCTACAACCAATTAGTAAGCCCCCAGGAAAGGTGAGTTTTGGTATAGACTGAGGAAAGAAACAGTCAAAGTGCACCTGTTAGTTCAAATTAAACAAACAGAACCGAATACTCCAAATTATAGCCTCTTTGAAAGCTGTAGGGAAAAACCGAAAAAAAAATTACATGCAAATGAATACGAGTGAAGAGAAAAATCAGAGCAAGGGCAGTTTTTCTCCTCCTCTAGGAACGAGGATCAGAACTATTGCTCTTTTTCTGTTAAGACGTTTTCCATCTTCCTCCCCATGACTTACCTGCATGAGACAGATGTTAAGACCAGAGCATTAACATTTACATAAAATGTTTTTATTTATACATATCTGTGTCATAATGAAAAGAATATTCTCTAAACCTCCTGAACGTCTATTATCTAAATTGTG